AGAGAATAAGCCACAATAGCTTTTATCATCCAATTAGTGCTTGAGGTTCTTATTTTGTTCTCTGGGGCCTGAGAATATTTATTAAATATCTGCTAAACTAAAGAAATTTCATTTGTGATAATATAGAATAGAGTATACTCTACTCTATTTCACTACTTAAAAAGTTTCACTACTTAAAAGCTCTATGTTAACATGAGCACTTCTTTTAATGATGCCAGATTGCAACTCCACTATTAAAAGATGGTATGTATTAGTTTTAAAGTGTGACAATTTGTCTCCAAATTACAAGAATTGAGGCATACTGCTCTTCAACATTTTTGTATCACATCCTTGTTACAGCGATTATGTGATTATTTTTCTAAAAATTGTACTCAAATCTGGAAAGATCATAGGCCACTGCAGATAAGATTTTTACTTCTGTTTCATGTTCTTTCACCTTTTACCCATGAATTCGCCCTCAAATTTCTATTCCTGTAAAAGAGGGTTTGTATTAGATTATTTTTAATCTTTTTAATTTCTAAAATTCTCTAATCTGTCTTTATAAGATGCATGATCTAATTAAGGCTACTTGGAAAGTACCGAGGATTTTTCTTTTGGCTCTCTCTCTTACAAAGTCTATCACCTTTCAGAATAACACATCCCAGTCACACAGACAGCTTTGTTCTTCTAATTATGTGTGCTTGGGATAGTATTGGACCAAGGCACTGAGTATCTCAACATGATGACTAGTGCAAGCCCACTAGTTTTACATGGAGGAAAAGGAGAACAATAAACAAATTGTTAAGCCCATGGCTCGGAGCCATTTCTAGGACGTTAGCTACTTTGAAATGCACACGCTGAAAAAAATTCCTTGTGAGAAAGAGCATAGTAGGAAGGGAGTTATATACCTTTCAGTTCTTCACTTGTATATAAATGCAATTTTACTTGGTTTTAAAAAATCAGTAGTGTCTTTTAATCTTTAAAATATCAGTGCCTTTCCATTTGATTTTCATAAAATAAAGTAACGTTCCTTGGACAAATGCCAAGCAAATCTTTTTTTTTCTTCAAAGAAATAGTTTTATTTTTCTTACATCTCTCATTTAACCTTTGATTCTTGGAAATGATCATTCTTTTCTGTTTGTATACTAGGGTATTCTCTTAGAGAGTAAAGTCATGAAATACTTATGCTTAGTAATAGTGTTGTGTTTATTCCTGTTTGGTTTTTAAAGCCCTTGATAATACAATGCTATACTCTGTCCATTCTTTTTGCAAATTAATCTTCATACGTCATACATTCCAGTTTTCTGCTCTTCATGCACACGTTTCATCTCCTATCTCCTGACTTTTGCACTGGCTGGCCCCCATGCCTGGAATGTACTTCCTCTTCACTTCCACCTATTAGAACCTCCAGCATTCTTTGAAGTCCAGCACAAATATTACTTCCCACAAGAAACCTCTGCTTATTCCCCCTATTGCTAGTGGCATCCCCCCAGAAACTACCTTGTATACATTTTATATTTAATTTTGCAAGGCATATTTTTTTTTTTGTCTCTGGGTCTGTTGTACCCTTCACATTTCCTGGCATATAGTAGACATTTCAAAAATTCTTCTTGATTGAGTGAGTGAAGGAAACAATAATAAATCAAAGAAAATACTTGTTAGGGGAGATTTCAAGAATTCTGTACTTTCTTCAATTCTGACCAACTCCAGACTTGATTATATAAACATTTTTTTAACTCCACCGAGGATCTCTTAAAATAAATATCCATTTTAACTGAATGAAGCATAATTAATCACTTATTTTATATTATGATTTTTATATCACTCTAAGTTTGATACAATAAATGGATAAAAAACATTTTGTAACTTTAAACCCTGGGGATTCAAATACAAAAGCGAGACAGTCTTTCCCCCCAAAGATCTTACCTTCTTGTAGGGAGAAACAACATATAAGTAGAAGTGAATGGTGACCAGAGAAGGGAAATTTGGTTTGGGATGTCACAGGGGTAGTGAATGAAGCCAAAAAGAGGAGGCAGCTGCTTCCAGAAGCAAGTCATATTGATTTGATTACTTCTTTTAAAGGAAGAGGTGAAAAATCAAGGTTAAATGAGGTGGGGTAAGGAATTGATTGTGAGATGGGATATGGATAATGATCTGGGTTCAGCTAGATAAGGTGGGACATGTGTGATTGTGCTGGCTGGCCTCACTCAATCAGGAGAAAATGGTCCCAAGGTCATAGTTCCAAAGCTAAGCTAAGAGTAATAGCAAGCACATCATGTGTACTGTAATGGTTCATGAGTCTCTAATATTGAGGGAAAGACTCGGTAAGAATGAAGATGTCATGAGTGTTTCTGTCTCTAAGACTTTCATCTTCTGAGGTATTAATAACTGATATTTAGCACTTTGAGTTTTATAAAGAGCTTTACCTACAGAATCTCGTTCAATCCTGACATTTGCAAGGTAGGTGCTATTACTATTTCCATGTAAGAGATGAAGAAACCAGTGTGGAAAGAGACAGAGAGAGGGAAAGAAAACTGAAGTCCATTACTCTGTGCAGTAAGTCACATTGCCTCTATATAGGAATACTGTCATTTACAGTGGGAGGTGAATTGGATTAAAGTGTTTGATAGGCTATCATTTGGAAGAGAGTTTATGATATTCTCTGTGTTTCCTGGAGTAAGAATTCGGACTACTAGGTGAATTCCAGTGTGGATGACTGTGGCTCAGTATAAGGAAGAACTTTTTATAATCAGTGTGGTTATGAACTGTTTTTGGAAATAGTCTGAGACCTGACTCCCTCAGGGATGGCACAGGGAGAATTTCTGTACAGAATAAGAGTTTGCTTTAGATTATTTCAATTTTTTAAAATTTAAGAGTCTGTGGATATCTTCAATAATCACATTTGAAACAAAAACATCATATCTGCTTTCACTTATTTAAAAATCTCTGTAAATGAAATGATTTTCATTTCCATTTACGTATTTAGTAGAATTTTTGTCTTTGTTCTGCAGGAGGATTACAGACAGGGCCATAAGATATACAGTAACTCTAGATGTGCCAGGGGCCTTCAAAGTACTAACTTTCAACCCCCTTATTACACAAAGAGTGAATAGTAATGCTCAATTTGAACTCAGGTCAAGGGACTCAAGTTCATCAGTTCTTCTACTGCAAAACCCTGCTTCTTTATATTTGTATTTATAATTCATTATTGCTGACTTGATTTTGCAGAAGGAACCCAATTTGGAGACTAAGATCTTCATATATATATGCCAGAGAGCCATTAAGTGTGTTGTGTGCAGATTTTTTTAGTTTGAGGATTTGGATAAAGGTTGAAAAATAAATTTGTTCTTACATTTTGCTAAATTGTTATATAGATATTCAAGTATCAATTTTAAAAGAGTTTATGATGTCTACTGTGGCATATTCTCAATCATCTCTTTGCTAGTTTCAATGAGTAGATGATTTTGCCATTACATCTTATTGTGAAATTTTACTGAAAGGAAGATTCCACTGTTCTCCACCTCAATTTGTTTCCTTTACTTATTGCAATGAACTCAGAAGGTTAAAAAAAAAAAAAGTTGGCCTTCGAATAGTAAACATGGAAAGTTACGCCATTTTACGGAGGGTGAGTTTGTATTGCAGTAACAGAATGTTAGTTTAACATCTATTATGGCCACTTTCGGCTTAGCCAACTGTTCACTTGGTGTCTGCCCTGCCCTAACCTGACTAATTAGTTGTCATTGAAAAATGTAAGTCCCTGCTGGAAATCTTTTAGAGTTCATTGTTCAGTGAAACTCTGAAAGACCCAAGTGAAAGGGCACATTAGGTTTGTTAGCCATCATGCATGTAAGATAGAATATCTCAGTCTCTTATTTGAAGCCACTGATCATTTAAAATTTAGTCATTCTGACATTTCTTAACTATGGCATGCAGTATCTTGCCTTCAATCTTTGTCAGATGCTAAGAGCATTCTCATTAGAACAGGACTTGCATCACATTTCCAACTAAAGTTGAGTAAATAATTTTTTAAGTGATTATAACCTATATAACATTTTAGTGGCTTCATTTGAAAAACATACATAACCAATAAGTAATCCACAGTAATGGAAGTGAGTTGCAGCAAATGATACTGACATAATTTCTCTTGGACTTTGGACATTGTATGGACTCTGGCCCTGTCTGCTAATGTACTCTCCTACTCTTATTTTTCTCGATTTCATATTAAAGTTAGCTTTTGTTTCCTGAACACAAACATTGTTTGACTGTATAGAGCAGCAGCTTGTCACATGGCTAGAAGGGGGGAATAAATGTGCCAGGCTTGAAAAATTCCTCTGAGGTAATCTTTAAGGTGGAAAACTTAGAAAGTGAATGTACACATTGGCTACTATCATCCAGTGATTAATTATAAAAAGTCAAAGTTAAATGAAAATTGATTGAAAATGTGATGAATGTGTTGCTAGGTTGAGGGTACAGCGATTAAGGGTGTAGCCAACATCTGAGTTTTCAAGGGAATACATTCTAAAATCCAGGCAAAATAGGGAACTGTGTAAACACTCAGCTTATCTGAGTTGGAGGAGAGCTGAAGATAAGGTGTTAGCAAGAGATATGAGTGCCTGGTGTTATTTCTTGATTGAATGAGTCAAAGATCAGAGCTAACACCTATTGCTGAGACCGATTAATGTCAATTCAATTAAGTAAACATTTCTTTTATTTTCAGTTTTTTATTGATGTTTTTTATTTTTACATTTTCTTCACTTCTGATCATATTTCTTCTCACAGTGAACTATCCCTTTGAACAAAGAATAAAAAAAAGGAGGGTGGGAGTAGCAGTTCAATAAAACTAAACCGAATGTCGCCTGAGTCTGACAGTATATGCAACGTTCTACACCCTATTCCCTTATCTTTGTAAGAGAGGGAGGGAGATATTCATAACCACAAATCAAATATTGTATTCTGAGATGTTTCTTCTAGGAAGAATTACAGTGGTTTGTGAAATCATTTTCTTCTTGTTTTTCTTCCAGGGCATCTACTACACCAAAGCCTGAACCTATTTCCGTTCAGAAGGTAAGTTTTTAATGAAAAAAGAGGAGTGTAACATTTAATGGTCTCTGCTGGGCAAGTCAGTTTTCAAATACTCTCTCAGTTAACCCATTGTCCAATTTGGTCTCTCGGTATCGTTTTCCTCATACTTCCTTTAGAGGAAGTTGTTAGAGGCTTTGTTGCTATTGTTGTTTTAAATATACACAGTTACCATCTCTTTAGTGTGATTGGCTTTTAAAGAATTCATGGCCTTATCCTCTTCAGAAAGTATATACAAGTAAAGATGACAATAATGAATGTACATCCAAAATAGGGACACAGACTCGTGAGGGAACCCTCAGAAGTCATTTGGTGGTAGCTTTTGTGTCCCCAAAATGATTTCCACGTAGGCGTAATTCAGAGACATCTATTCACTTACAAGACTTAACTTGTTACCTTTCTCCTGCATTCCTACATTATAATTTTATTAGTCTGAATATGAGTTACTCAATGCCCTTTTTTATCCTCTTGCTGTCAGGTTCAATCATGTGACATCATCTTTTATTCTTTTTTTCTTTATTTATTTTCTTAGGCAATTGGGGTTAAGTGACTTGCTCAGGGTCACACAGCTAGTAAGTGTCAAGTGTTTGGTCTGAGGCCGGATTTGAACCCAGGTCCTCCTGACTTAAGGTGCTCTATCCACTGCGCCACCTAGCTGCCCCCATCATCTTTTATTCTTTAAAAGAGCTATATTAGATATAGAAGCAGCATGGTGTAGCACTGACTCCACCTCTGTCGTATACTGGCTGACACCCTGCCAAGTCCCTTCACCTTTCAGTGGCCCCACGTCACTCCCTAAGACAGTAAGTTGCCAAGAGGGTGCCATTCTGGAGTGATGGAAGGAGTTTCCTTAATGATAATCCTATGCCAATGAGATCATTGGTTCAATTCCCCCTTCCCCCACAAAGTAATCTGTTGTTGTCAACAATTTTTCATCTTAGACTTACTTTAGAGAGTAAAATTTTTAAACAAGAATTTACCATGAAGGAAAACTAATTTTACTTTTGAAAAAATAGTTCCTTTCCCCACATGTTAAATATATGTTGATGTTATTTATTTTTAACTATATTGATATATTTTGTTTTTAGAAGCCCTTCATTTCTGAGTATATTTCTTTCTCCAGTGAGCTCTCACTTTGTAGGAAAGAATTTAAAAAAGGAGGGAAAATCAGTTTGGAAAAACTGTACAAAATATCACTGGAATTTAACAGCATGTTAATTTTTTTTTTATTTTGTAAAGAAAGGAAAGGAAAATACTTGATTCTGTCTCTAAGTATGACACAAACTAATTTTTTTTAGACAAGCGAAAAATATTAGAGTTCATATTGAAATGACAAAAGGCCACACCAAATATTGGAATTTTGATAAAAGTATGGAAACATTATGTTTTTGAAAGCAGATAATCTGTCATATAATTGTGGCATGTTAATAGTGGAGAAGTGGAAAAAGTGGCATGAACCATTTTAAAGATCTGTTTCTTAGCCTAATAGCTGTTTTGGTAATTCTTTGGTTAAGTCACTGGGCTTTGAAAATTTTAAAGTTAAACAGAAATAATGTGTTTTAAAATAAAGAATTAGAAATAATATATTTTAAAATAAGGAATTAGAAATAATATATTTTAAAATAAGGAATTAGAAATCATTAGGAATTAGAAATAATGTGTTTTAAAGTGAAGAATTAGAAATAATATGTTTTGAAATAAGGAATTAGAAATCATTAGGAATTAGAAATAATATGTTTTAAAATAAGGAATTAGAAATCATTAGGAATTAGAAATAATATGTTTTAAAATAAGGAATTAGAAATAATTAGGAATTAGAAGTAATATGTTTCAAAATAAGGAATTAGAAGTATGCAGTAGGAAATACTGCTGCTTGCTCTGGGCTAATAATGGCACTGTAGCACACAGTGGAATTTATTATAAGAACAAATAAAGTAGTAGATGGAATTGAATTTGAGAGCCTGGATTGTTGATATATGTGGTTTAAAAAAAACCCACTTTGTTGTCTGGGTAGGATTGGAATAGGAGTTTATTCATTTGCAACTTTGCATTGTATTTAAATTTGTTACATCATTTTGATGACTGTCTCGCTGAATAAGAGTTTTCCTGCTTAGTTGGCTAAATCCTCTACAAATGTCTTTAAACTGATTAAAATATATATGTATATATTTTTGTTTTGCATCTGCGTTATGCTTGTTAGGAGCCTTCATTATGCATGCTAAATTATATCCCCTGTTAATTTTTCACTAAGGCATACAAGTGATGATTTGGCTGCTAACGTGAATGTATCTTATTTTTAATATCAGCTGAATATTCTTTTCAATCGGTTATCTTTTGCATGTATTTGGTGTGTTCTCTGTGTATGTTTTATTTTTATTTTACATAGGGAGAACCCAAAGAAGTAGTTAAGCCTGTACCTATCACATCCTCTGCTGTGCCCAAAGTCACTTCCACATCCAACTTGGCCTACAATAAGGCACCACGGCCTTTTGGGGTTGTATCTTCTCCAAAAGTCACCTCCATCCCATCACCATCATCTGCCTTCACCCCAGCTCATGCGACCTCTTCATCACACGCTTCCCCTCCGCCAGTGACTGCTGTCACATCTCCCCCATTTGCTGCATCTGGACTGCATGCTAATGCCAAATCTAGCGCCGACCAGCCTTTACCTGCCTCGAGCTCTGTTAAAACTGCAGTTAATGTCCCATGGCAGCCCACAGCCACGAGCCCGTATGCCAGCGACACTGCCCAGGAGCTAGCTGAGGGGCAGAGAAGAGGATCCCAGGCTGACAGTAAACAGCAAAATGGGTAGGTGGCTAATGCGCGCTTTCCCCGCTCTTGTCTTCAGGAAATTTAAGAAAGCACAATAAACCCAAAACCAGAAAACACAGCTTCTTCTTTTTAGGGATGGAGAAGATTGAGATATGTGTTTGATTCGCTTTGTTAAAAAAAGAAGAATTTATGTGTATATAATATTCACTTCAATGGAAAAATACATAATTGTAATTATGTATCATAATGTGCTATCAACTTTCTGACATATGTATAATGTTGTTTTTTTTTCTTTTCCTCAGATACAAGCAGCTGGCACTTAAAATGCAAGGCAGGTCTGGGAAAGGTTCTTTTAATCCCCGCCTCCACTCCCCAATCCTTCTGCTTTCAGGTGATCACTAAGAAGGGATATTCAGTAGCTTTACAGTCACCATCTAGCTTGAGGGTATTCCTTAGTATTGAAGGAGGCATTTGTAATTTAAGCAAGAGTAGCAACCCGCCAAAGTCCATATTTGACAAGACTCTATATATGCGGTAGTTCAGGCAAAAACCTGGTATCACTATAGGACACTGAGGCTTAGCATTGACATATGTTTTTTCTTGTCCCAAATGATGCTTTTAAAAAAATACACACAAATGGGATCTCAGTGAAGATTTATTTTTTTACTGACATCTTTTATTCTTACATCCCCTTTATTTCCAAAAATATCTTGATTCTTCTCCATCTCCCTTATAACAAAGAATTATCAAAAAAGGAAGGAAAAAAAAATCAGCCCAGCAAATCTTAGCAACAGGTCAACCACATATGACATATTGAGCAACGTTCCATCCAGTGCATCCTTGTATCTCTTCCTCCAGTCCATGCTTGGTCATTATAATATCGTGGCATTGAGTCTGATTATCATTGTTCTTTCCATTTACATGGTTCTGGTCATTGTTTATATTGTTTTTCTGGCTCTGCATCATTCATTCTACATTACTTCATAAAAGCCTTCTCGTGGAGACATTTACAGATCAATTAGAAGTCTTAGGACTTCACAATTAAAAAGAAAACACATATTTGAAGATAATAGTCACAAACTCGTGGTGAATTTTCAATGCATAGAATACTTTTTTTGGGGATTGGCTAAAAGTGTTAAGTTATTTTTTACTACATCCTTAGCCTTCAAATTGTCTACCTCCTTTTCAGAAGTCTTTGTTGCTGGAGAAAGGTTGTTTTACTCTCCAGAGGTCAGAGAAATCCCCCTATACCAAAACAGACCTTGTAAATTCATTTTGATGAGATTCATTCCAGGAATGTGGAATTAAGTGGAGAAAGGGAGAAAGAAAAGAAGTGCACGTGATAGCTTTAAAAATGCCAATTTTAGAGACAGTACAATCAAAGCGATGCTAAAGCTCAGTTCTTTCTATTGAAATGATTTCTTCTGCATGCTAATTCACATAATGAAGATGCTTTGTTTCATATTGCACCGCTGTCATGACAACTTTTGGGCGCTGAAACAGAAGATGGCAAGATTCCATGCATCTTAGAAAAGGAAAAAAGCAGGCGGTCTAATTGACTTGCTACTGTGTATAGAGCTGGTTTTGTATGGTGCCTCTCTGTGTGTGTTTAATTTGATGACAGCTAGTGTCCTAAAAATGTGTTTTCATTTCATGCTTGAGATTATCTAAAACTGAGATTTAGAAAACAATTTAACCCAGTAACAACCAAAAAAAAATGTTCTGAAAAAAGTATTACAGAATTTCAGAATTGGAGGGGCTTTGGGAGCCATCTGGTCCAATGCATACCTAAAAGAGTTTCCTCTATAGCATACTTGAGAAGTAGTCATTCAGTTTTTGTTTGAAGTTCTTAAATTAAGGGACACTATTCCCCTACTTAAGCAGCTAGGTGGCACAATGGATAGAGCACCGAGCCGTGAATCAAGAAGACCTGAATTCAAATCTGGCCTCAGACACTTACTAGTAGTGTGACCCACGTCGAGTCACTTCACCCACTTTGCCTCAGTTTCTTCATCTGTAAAATGAGCTGGAAAAGGAAGAGTCGGACGTGACTGAAACAACTGAACAACAACAGCAAACTTCTGGAAGCAGTCCATTCCACTTTTGGATAGCTCTTATTATTAGGAACCTTCTTTCCTTACGTCAAGATTATATTTGCCTCCTTCCCACTTTGACCCATCGCTACTAGTTCCAACCTTGGGGCCAAATCGGGCAAGTTGAATCCCTCTTCTGTGGTCTAATCATCCCATTTCTTCAACCAGTTTTCACAAGGCCTTCCTTCATCATTCTGGTAGTTCTCTTCCATATTCTCTGGATTATCAGTTTCATCTTTGGCAATGCTACTTAGGTTTCTTCTGGAACTATCATGTTAGCCTCGGATTCACCAGAGTGGGTAGTCGTCATGTGTTTTGACATACCTTGGGAGGTTCTTTGGTCCATGTTGGATAAGTGTCTGGGAAGACGGTAGAGCAGACCTTTAGTTGATACCGGATTGACAAAGAGCTACCTCAGTAACCCCCAGCAGGGAGCTACCAGCTACTCTCACTTAGCTTTTCTTCTTACTCTTCCAAGCGATGTCCCACCTCCTGGTACATTTGGATCTTCTTTGTCCTTCCTTGGAGGACAAGCAGCTGCTTTTTTCATCAATCTCTTTTCTCTTAGGGAAGGGCCTAAATTTTGTTTCTTAGCGCCTAGTCTTTAGTAGTCCTTTATCTCTTCTTTCTCCTTTACCTTGGCAAGTCTTCAACGCTCTAGGCTTCCAGTGTAGGGAAGGAGGCAGCCATACCTCATCAGACCTCTTCTTGATTTTTCGTAAGGAAGCTGTGGATGTGTATGTTTAAGAAATGCTTAACTGCCTCTGATAAGTGGAGGGAGTATTCCACAAACTCCTTCCCTTTTGCTTTAAGAAGATCTGAGACCCCTCCTCCGGTCACCCCAAACTACTTGGCCACTCCTAGATCCCTCCCACAATCTTTCTGTATAGAAAGTCCATCTTGTCTCTATTAAGGGGCTCAGATTCTTAAAATCCAGCCTGCTTGCATTAGTGATACAGATGCTCAGATTCTTTAAGATTCTAGCCAAGGGCTCAGATTCTTAAAATCTAGCCAATGGCTGAGATTTACTCTAGCCCACTTGTCAATGAGTGTCACAAATGCTTAGATTCCTTAAGAGTCTGGCCAGTGTGGCGGATTCTTTAAGTCTCACCCAACCCTGATTGATGTTCTAATACACCTTGTCTTTCGCTGGGAAAGAAAAGAAATAAGATCTGTCTACATTTAGAGCATAGGTAGCAGTCACATACCTTGCTACTGAGTAGTCACTGCAAAAAATTTCCTGCTCTCCATTTTATCTGGAAGTGAGATCTGCAGTCCTCATCTTCTTTTTCTCATATGGCAAACTATTAGTGAGTGACCAAAACTCCAAAATTGTCACTCTCCTCACCTTTTAGCTGTCAGCTACACCCTGGTGGCCACACTTGGCTTCTCTTGCCTTCTCTCACTTCTTCCTTGGTTTTACTGTTTTTTTTTCCACGTAAGTACTTTGTCTTACCTCTCCTTGAATCCTTCTTGAATTCTTTCTCCTACTCTTATAACTCAAGTCTTCCTTCTGCTCCTGCCTCTTCTTGCATCCTTCATCTTCTTTCATCTTCTTTCCTTAGGATTGAATTATACATAAGACAATGGGCTCATGATCATAGGAGTGAGAAGGGACCTTGGAAGGCATCAAGTCCAGTCTTCTCTGAAGGAGAGAGGTATTAAGGCTCTCTTTAAACCAAAGGAGGGGCAGCTAGGTGGCGCAGTGGATAGAGCACCGGCCCTGAAGTCAGGAGTACCTGAGTTCAAATCTGGCCTCAGACCAAACACTTGACACTTACTAGCTGTGTGACCCTGGGCAAGTCACTTAACCCCAATTACCTAAAAAAATAAATAAATAAAAATAAACTGAAGGAGAAAAATATTAAGTGGCTTGCCTGGGATCACATAACTAGTAACTAAAGTATCTGAGGCAGGAATTGAACCCAGGTCTCTCTGACTTTCTGACATTCAGTGCCCTAATCCACTATGCCATTCTATTTTTGCCCTAATTTCCCACCACTTCTCTTTGTTTTCCTGAAATCTCCCTTTTCCTTCAGACTGAGTCCTTTCCCCTTGAATTTTTCTTTCCTGAATTCTGTTCATAACCTTAATCTTAATGTGTTCCTTTTAAGAATATCACCAATTTATCCTATCTATTTTGTTCATATATTGTTGTTTGCATTTTGTTTCCTCCGTTAGACTGAGCTCCTTGAAATGAGGGGTGTTTTTGCTTTTTATTTTTGTATCCCCAGCACTTAACACAATGCCTGGCACATAGTGAATATTTAATAAATACTTCTTGACTGACTGGCCTAGTCCAGAATTGCCAAGACCTCTTCAGTTTCTTGCCCCTCAGCCTTTTCTTTTGGAAACTGGAAAAAAATTTATGTTGTTATCCTTGCCTTAGCACCCTAGAAAACCACTCAATGAAATCAAAGTTTGGAAAAATAATTTATTTATATATATCCATATAAGTTAAGTGGCACAAGTAATATTACACTCATTTTTCTGGTGACTGAATTTGCTGGGTTTATAGTGTCATAGGACCATTTAAAGAAATGTCAAGTGCCTTTATGAAATTACAGCCATGTTATTAAGCACCGAATTTGAGTGCCATGCTTGAAGTCAGAAAGACTTTTCTTCCTGTGTACAAATCAGGCCTCAGACATTTATTAGTTGTGTGACCCCAAGCAAGTCTCTTTATCTCGTTTGCCTCATTTTCCTCATCTGTAAAATGAGTTGGAGAAGGCAATGGCAAATCGCCCCAGTATCTTTGCCAAGAAAACCCCAGATGGGGTCAGAAAGAATCAGACACGATGGAAACAGCAGAACGGCAAGAAAGCACTGAATTAATAAACCTGAATGAAGCCATTCCCAAATCTAGACATGTGTTCCCTTGCATGGGTTTAGAGACTTTGCTGGAAATAACTTTTTTTTGGTTGTATATCTGAAATTGGAGGA